AGAAGAAGAAGAAGAAGAAGAAGAAGAAGAAGAAGAAGAAGAAGAAGAAGAAGGAGGGGGAGGAGGAGGAGAAGGAGAAGAAGAAGAAGAAGAAGAAGAAGAAGAAGAAAAAGAAGAAGAAGAAGAAGAAGAAACGGTCTGCTGTCAGGAATAAGTTTACTTCTATCTGCAGCACTTTTGGTTTTAATAAGAGTTTGACGGTATAGTTATATAAGTGTCGACGATTAGAGGTGTTACAATAGAGTAACAAATACAAAAAGGAGGAGGGATAAAAAAAGACGATAGATGTTTATCTGGAAATAGGAAGCAAACCACATCAGAGCACCCACCAACCACCCACAGTCTGCTGTACACAAGTTTTGTTGTAGATAGATCCCTTTAACACTCGGGACAGGACGTAGAGCCACCCTGGACACACCTCATCAGCGTCAGGAATTCGGTTAGGTTTATCGATTGGTGAGCGGGCGGTCACCACTCTGTTGTGTCGTCATCCGGTGCCTGAGATCTGACACAGACATCTGCGATCATGGCCGGCCACTCACTTTTCTGCTCGGATGCTTTCGAATACCTATTTATATTGCGAGGCATCGTGGCGAAATCAAACCCCCGTCAAAATAATTAAATCGAAGAAAATAGCGTAGTTCCGTCCAGTTAACAATTTTATAATTGTTTTTGTTCTTTCTCTTTATTGTTCCGCACAAGTTATGCCTATTTAGAAACACATTTCTGTGTTGATTTTACGGGGAAAACCAACATTTAAAAAAATAGATTTGCAATTTCCAGGGACTCGCAAACTTTGGAGTGACCAAAATCAGGCGAACATTTTCTCACTAATTTACTCTGACTCTGACACCAGGCGACTCCGCACCTCCTACAATCGCAAATATCTCGACTTCAATTCAGGACAGATGAATATTTTTTTTTCATTCAAAAAAAAAGAAAAAAAAAAAAGAAAAGAAAGACAAGTGAACAACCTTGAAGATGACATAAATAACTCCATTTACTGAAAAATTGACGAGCCCTGATTCTGCCACGTTGCGACACATTCCGATCTTATTCTGAACTTTTCTTGTCACTCATTTGTCCAAATTCTCTCAGTACGTACTTTCTAGGTCTGCCTTTGCTTCTTTTACCTTCCTGTTTTTTCCTGGTCAGAGCATGATGTCCAAGGCCCTTATACCGACTCAAGTGTCCAAGGAACTGTATTCGCTTGTTCCTGTATATGGACACGTTTGGATATCAACTCCATGCCCACGCATTTTACTCATTATGATACACACTGGCGATAAAAGAAAATGTATCACTTTCTGATTGTGTAAAAAATATAATTTTTTGAGTCTGTACCCTTTTCCGTTCAAACGAGTGACACTGAATGCTTTAAAAAGTCGGTCATGTTATGAAAACAAAATTTTGATGCTTAATTACTGTTCACAGCACCAACGTTAGAAAAAAAGGAAATTGACACTTTTTCCCGATCACGTTGCGGATATTTTCTTTTGTTAAAAAACAGATAGGTCTGTGTTTACCGAAAGCCACAATTATATTATTTTGATCATTGTCGCTCGTGAAAGATATTAGATTTAACTCAACATCAAAGAAATCAAGTTATCGACGGGGGGCTCTCGTGGCCTGGAGGTTAAGGTGTTGGCCTCTCATTCAAAGGTCCCGGGTTCGAATCTGGGTAGCGACCGAAACATGTTCTTCTCTAAATTTGTCTCCTTTCACCTCATTTCCTGCTCTCTAGCAATGTTCTGTCGTCTGCTTTCGTCTCTGCTTTCTGCCCCCACCCCCTCACCTCCTTTGCCCTTTCTTCTGGGCTCCTTCGCTTCTTCTTACTGCTGTCTTTCAGCCACACCCCTGATCTTCTGGTAGAAAAGATCTACACCTAGCCTTCTCGGACAAGGGCGAAAAATCTCGGAGGGCCCGTGTGCAAATTGCGCACGTTAAAGATCCCTTGGTGGTCTAAAATCGATAAGAGTAGGCTTCGGCCGCCACCCGGGCAAAATTCAAAATTTCCTACCAACTGAAAATATTAGGTGTGTCCCGCGCGCTCATATGACCTTATGCAGTTGCGAGCGCCGTAAAACACTTTTTTTAAAAAAGTTATCGGCAAGCTCCTTGCGTTTCTGCCGTTGCCATGACGTACATTCAACATCTATAATTTTTCTGTTGACACCGAATTTTCTGGTAACAAGATTGACACAAACTTATTTCAAAGTACCCCGGTATTTCTACAAGTGTATTCACCTTTTGCTTCTTTATCATGGCTCATGTGGTGATACAGTGCTAAGCACAAAATGGTGCCCCTTGGTTTCCAAATTTCACATCAGCTGTTGGTATGGCCGCCCATAGCATTTTATGCTTGGTATCTTCTGTGAATTGATCAAGAAACAAAAGGTAGGTAATGCACTTCTTGAAACATTTGAAAATAAGTTTGTGTCAATTTGTGTTTTTATATGTTGAAGAACAAGCATAATACATGCCCTTTTTTTCCAAATGAAAAGTTTCTAATTCCTCTACACATATATTTATATATCTACATCTGTTGGACGCCGTATCCCTGTCAGCCCGGACTGGCGCCGACAGATGCTGTAGAAGTAGCCAGCCTCCTACATGGTCTAGATTATGTCGATGTAGAAAAAACCCATTTAAAGTTTCAATATTGCGGGAAAGAAATTATTCCCAAAGCAACTTCCTTTTACTGATTTAATGACCAGTAATACCCACACTCAAGGTGCTGGTGGTTGGAGGGCGCCACTAGCTAACCCCCCCCCCCCATGGGGGCGGGGGAGGGGGGGCGGTGCCACTGACTGAAGTGTCTTTAGGCCATTCCCAAAGGGGGAACATTTCTCGTTCTAATGCTCAGTAGAATTGTAAATGGGCTGATCCAACAGTCATGCTCATAACTGTGCCTGAACTACAACAGGGAACGGATGCTTTTTCTTTCCCAATCCTTACTATCGTCTTTTTCCTGTACTTCTTTCGTATGTTTGTCACACTCTTGTGACCCGCTATTTCCCGGGTGCCTTGATAGTCGAAGCAGACTTTGTGCTGTTGAAGCTAGAGAGAGGTGAGCAGAGTAAGTCTGATTCCCAGTAAGGACTTCTTTGTTGACATCCACCCCTCGGCGCTCATATGACCTTATGCAGTTGTGAGCGCCGTAAAACCTCTATTAAAACTAAATAACTTAACTAAGACGACTACTAGTTCTTCAACCTGCAGTGCAAATGAGTTTTACATAAGTGACCTTTTTTTACGACTACTTTGTATAAGGGCCCCTTGCCTTCAAGCAGCCACATTCCGATTTCAAAGGTACTCTATATGTTTTTTGTAGGAGTTAATTAAATTTTTTTTTGTCCAGGTGGTGGCTGAAGCCTACTCTTATTGATCTTAGGACCACCAAGGAATCTTTAACTTGCTCAACCTGCACACTGGACTTCCGAGAATTTGTTGCCTTTTTCCGAGAGGGCTAGGTGTCCGACCTTACCTACCATAAGACTAAGTTAAGATCAAGGAATGTTGCTAAAAGATAGCAGTAGGAGCCGTTTGTTAATCATTATTTTTAAAAATACTTTTGTCATTACTATAAGTCTCTTTCTCGCTCTCTCTGTCTCTCATCCCACCTCTCTCTGTCTACCCATCTCTCGGCCACTCACCCCTCTCCTTTCCTCCGCCCCCCCCTCTCTCTCTCTCTCTCTCTCTCTCACACACACACACACACACACACACACACACACACACACACACACACACACTCACAAACACATACACACACACTCACATATACACACATTCACCAAACACTAATCTGAAAAAAGACAATCACACAAGACAAAAATTTCCAATGTACTAACTTTTGATTAATTGCACTTCAAGACAACCACAAGTTAAAGGTGACGATACTTTTTTTTCTGAACAGGACTCATTCATTTTCACTGGTGTCTGTGGTGCACTGGTTAGACATTTTGATACTTCACGCAGAACACGCCGGTTTGATTCCAAAGTGTGACTTTAAAAAAATGTAATACCCCCGTATCCATCTGCGGGGATGTTATTGTATCCCTCTCAGGCCGGGTTGGCCTTGGCATGCAAGGAGAGAGCAGCTCGTACACTAAACAATTATCTCTTAAATTCTATGAAACGTTAAAATAAAAACAAAACAAAACAAAACAAAACCCCCAACCTCCCCCCCCCCCCGAAACCCCCCCCCCCCCCCCCCAACAACAACAACAAAAAACCAAAGACAAATTTGACTAGTTATTTGTTCTTCTTCTTTTCGGTTGGACGTGGCAGAAAGAAAACCAAAACTGGCTTTACTTTCAGAGAGTGTAAGAAAGAATTCTCTCATCTTCAATCCTATTGCCGTACCAGTCACGAAGCAATTCTAAAGCCTTTTCCGATTAATCTGACGGCTTCTTCTTTTTAATTACAGACAATCATCAGAAGGTATAGAGGGAGAGGAGGAAGAAAGGAAAAAGAAACTCTCTCTCTCTGCATCATAAAGAAAGAAGAAGAAGAAGAAGAAGAAGAAGAAGAAGAAGAAGAAGGATGAAGAAGAAGAAGAAGAAGAAGAAGAAGAAGAAGAAGAAGAAGAAGAAGAAGAAGAAGAAGAAGAAGAAGAAGAAGAAGAAGAAGAAGAAGAAGGAGGAGGAGGAGGAGGAGGAGGAGGAGGAGGAGGAGGAGGAGGAGGGAACGAAAAGTAAAAAGACGATGAACAGAGGAAGGAAAAACAATGATGAAACAAAAAGTGAAAAGAAATGAAGAAGAAAAAGACAAACGAGCAGAATGTGAAAACTGGGGAGAAGACGAAGGAGTGGAAAGAATCACTTTGATATTTAATGAACAAGCTGAGTGGGTACAAGTAATAATGAAAACGATTAGATTAGGAACAAAGACACAACAAGAACATACAGTACAAATAACATAATGCATTAGAATAATTAATATCTTTTTAATATCATATGGCACACATTACACGCACCGGTGATGCTGTTAAACTTTCATAATTTAGAATTATTCATATAACGTAGGTGAGAAGAAGGGAGCACAATGTTATTCAAAGAAAAGTGAAGTAAAAACTCTTCGATTTGAGAAATGAGCGAAAACGCTGTCATAGAAATAAGATTTAGTTCAAAAGATTAAAAAATGACTTTTAAAAATCAGTGTGAAAAATATGTAACTTATAAATAACAGAAATACAAATATAAGTATGGCACATTGTTTAGCACACAATAGATCTACATGTATATTAAATAACTATCTTTATGCATTGAGACATTTTAAAGTGAAGAACAGGTGAAAAAAGAAAAGACAGACTACAAAGCAGGTTTTTTATATTATTTTTTTCAGTGCCCAGCGTGTTTTTTTCTAAATACAGATGCTTTTAAATATAATCATTATCTCAAATCATTATTGTTTTTGTTGTTTTTGTTGCTGTTGTTGTTGCTGCTGTTGTTGTTCTTTGTTGTCGTTGTCTTCGTCAACATCGCTACTTTTGTTTTCGCTCCGCTCCCAGACAGAAAATATGGCATTTTTATGTTTCTGAGAGCGTCACGTTATACAGCAGAGTGGAGCATTTCCAAAGAGTCATCACCTTTGAAGTATTCAGAACTGCAAAAACAAAACAAACAAAAAATGAATGAATGAATGACTGAAAGAATGAATGAATAATAAATAAATAAATAAATAAGTAAATCAATAAATCAATAAATCAATTAAAAAAAAGATAAATAGGTAAAAAAAAAAAATACATGAATAAATGAATGAATGAATAAATAAATAACAAATAAATAAATACATTCTCACATTGATGTCTTCAAAGAGTTCAGAACTGCACAGAAGAAATTTTTTTTAAAGGCAAGGCAAGGAATAAATTAAAAGAATTTTACCTATGAAACAGTAAACAAAAAATATTTTTTAAAAACAGATAGGAAGAAAACTGTGCCACACAAGTCAAACAGAGGTGAAAAGAAAATTATTGTAGGAAGACCTTCTACATCACTTGTTTAACATGACGTAAAAAAGGACAGACAGATATATAGATATCATATCTTATTTTTACTTATTTGATTATGTAAACTATTAATTCCTATCATTAAAAGATCTGGATGAAAGCAAGTTCCACTGCTCACCTAAAGACGAAAGGTCATATTTCTCTTCCACCATCTCCACAAAGAGCGCCGAAAGGTCTTGGGTAGGAACCTGAAAGACATATAGAGAAATGTTATTAAACTTTAGTATTTCTTATAATAGACTTGAAAACTACTCTCTTGTAACACCTCTAATCTTCGGTACTTATGTGACCATATGGTAGGCTATATTTGCATGTGCCGTAAAACGCTTACCAAAAATACTAAATTAAGATCTGAGACAGACAGACATCTGCAATTTTGGTTTGCTTACTTGTTGCACTACTG